GAGTCGAGATAAGTGGAGCTAAGTTCAGTGGGGCAGGAGCAGGTGGAGACAATGGGTCGACCAGGGCAGTCAGGGTTGTGGATTTTGGGAAGGAGATAGAAGTGGGCAGTGCGGGGTTGGGGAACGATGAGGTTGGAGGCTGTGGATGGGAGGTCACCTGAAGTGATGAGGTTGTGGATGGTTTGGGAGATGATGGTTTGGTGGTCGGGAGTGGGGTCATGATCAAGGGGGCGGTAGGAGGAGGTGTCGGAGAGTTTTTTCTAGATTCTCCTTACAGCTCATATCGTCTAATTCAGACAACATTTTGGTAACTATTTTTTTCTGATTTGTTCACTGGATGTGGGAGTTGCTGGTTAGGGCAACATTTATGGCCATTCCCAGTTGCTGAGAGGGTAGTTGGGAGTTAAGCACATTACTGTGGGCCTGGAGTCACATGTAGGCCAGATCAGGAAAGGACAGCAGATTTTATTCCCTAAAAGACATTAGTGAACTAGATGGAGTTTTACCGTAATTGACAGCGATTACATGGTTGCCATTACGCCAGTTCTCCCAGGTATTTATTGAATTCGGATTTCGTTATCTGCCATAGTAGGATTTAAACCCATATCCCCAAAACATTAGCCTGTGATATGAATTACTAGTCCAGTGATATTACTACTACACCACTGTCTTCCCAGGTTTAAGGTATTTAAGGTAATTTGACAAAAGATGTCATGCAGTCATGAGGAAAAATCTTTTCGAGCAATGATTAGGATAAAGTCTGGAATATGCTGCCTAAGAGTGTCTTTTTTAATTCATTGATGGGATGTGGGTGTCTCTGGCTGAGCCCTAATTGCCCTTGAGAAAGTGGCGATGAGCTGCTTTCCTGAACCACTGCAGTCCATGGGAGGTGGATGCGCACACAATGCTGTTAGAAAGTGCATTCCAGGATTTTAACCCAGTGACACTGAAAAAATGATAATATATTTCCAAGTTGGGATGGTGAGAATCTTGGAAGTTAATTTGCAATGAGGTGTTCCGATATGTCTGCTGGTCTCGTCCGTTATGTGGTGGAAGCAGATTCAGTTGAGGCACTCGAGGGGCAATTGGATTATTAGAAGGAAGAATATCTTTCTTTCTCTCCATCTTTTTTCACTAATTCTTCACTCTAATTCACGTGATCTCCTCCTCCATTGTTTCTCTGTTTCTTGCTTAACGAAGAAGAAAATGGTTTACAAGTTGTATGGTTCAGGAAAAGGGTCTAATTAGCTAGTCATCCCATGGTTACCATTTCCAGCAAGACTTTGGGCCAGTGATTCTCCATTAAGCAGTAGTCACGAAGCAGCCAAAGTGAAACAGTTCGATTCCTGCTGACAAACAGAAGATACAAAAATAGAAATTACTGGAAAAGCTCAGCAGGTCTGGCAACATCTGTGAAGAAAAAATCAGAGTTAACATTTTGGGTCCAGTGACCCTTCCTCAGAGTTCCTGAAACGTTAACTCTGATTTTTTTCTTCACAGATGCTGCCAGACCTAGAACATAGAACAGTACAGCACAGTACAGGCCCTTCGGCCTACGATGTTGTGCTGACCTATTATCCTACTAAGATCAATCTACCTTGCATACCCTACATTTTACTGTCCTCCATGTGCCTATCCAAGAGTTGCTTAAAAGTGTTTAAAGTATCTGTCTCCACTACCACTGCCAGCAGCGTATTCCACAGGCCCACCACTCTCTGTGTGAAGAACCTGCCTCTGACATCTCCCCTATACCTTCCTCCAATCATCATAAAATTATGCCCCCTCGAAGTAGTCGTTTTCACCGTGGGAAAAAGTCTCTGGCTATCCACTCTATCTACGCCTCTCATCATCTTGTACACCTCTATCAGGTCACATCTCATCCTTCTTCGCTCCAATGAAAAAAGCCCTAGCTCCCTCAATCTTTCCTCATAAGACCTGCCCTCCAGTCCAGAAAGCATCCTGGTAAATCTCCTCTGTACACTCTCTAAAGCTTCCACATCTTTCCTATATTGAGGTGACCAGAACTGAACACAATATCCCAAGTGTGGTCTAACCAGAGTTTTATAGAGCTGCAGCATAACCTCACGGCTCTTAAACTCAATTCCCCCGCCAATGAAAGCCAACACACCATACGCCTTCTTTACAGCCCTATCAACTTGGGTAGCGACTTTAGGGATCTATGGATGTGGACCCCAAGATCCCTCTGTTCCTCCACACTGCCGAGAATCCTGCCATTAATCCTGTACTCTGCATTCAAATTTGACCTTCCAAAATGAATCACTTCACACTTTTGTGAGCTGAGCTTTTTCAGCAAATTCTGTTTTTGTACCTGATTTACAGCATCTGCAGTTCTTTCAGTTTGAAAAACAGAAAGTGTTATTCTGGCTTCATCAAGATTTGCCAGTTCAACTATGAATGCCGCATCTGGAAGAGCTTCAATTCAAGTTGTCCTGAGACCTGTTGAAGAAATCTCTAAACTTGACAAGTAACTCAAACAAGGCCATTTAATGCATTGGTATTTGCTTCAGGTTAAAGAGGCTCAAGAAAGAGTGAAACATTTGGCTTATTGAACAAAGTGTCTCCTATTATTATTCTCAGACAATAATTGGAAAAGGTACTGCCTCTTTATTAAACATTTTTAAGTTACAACTTGTATTCTATAATATTTTATGGTGTTATTACTCATGTAAAGTCATTGAATTTGATTTCATTGTATTATTAGTTGCATTTATTGGCTGTGGAGCAGTGCACAAAGTGTTTTCTTCCCCCTAAAAGTCTATTTATTGTGAGTCTTTAGTTTGTCAGAAACAGTGCTCATTCTAATGGAGACCTTTCAGGATCCTAGCTGCATACCCTTGTGAAGCTGACCCCTCTGGTGTCACACTGAATTGACAGAACAGTTTTACTTCTTTTGTAAGATTTTGACTTTGAAGTTCTGTGACCAAAGGATTTTATGCTTTTGCCCGTGACATGTCAGATAAAATTAGCATACTTTAAACAGTAGGGACCTCTGTTATGAAGCAGCCCGTAAGGGTAGACCTAGGGCATTCCCACAGGGAGGAAGAAAAAAATCTGCAGCTGTCTGCCTGTGGACAAGCTTGGCCAGGGCACTGTGTGAATCGGCACATTGAAGGGAATGTGCAGAGGACCTGGAAGTCAAACCAGAAAGCTTTTCTTCAGCCAACTTCTGAAACCTGAAGAAATGAGAATGAGATTAAAGACTTCACTCTGGGAGGTGATAGAGTAACAGAGTCATACAGCACGGAAACAGACCCTTTGGTCCAACCAGTCTGTGCGAAACATAATCCCATAATAAAAGAGACAACTGTAAATGTGCTATGCTACCAATCTTCTGTTCGATTTCAGGAACCAGGATTCTGTGAGGCAGCTCCCTAGTGCTTGTAATGATAAATCCCTTGTCGGCTTGTAGGTCCAATCTTAGCAGCACGAGAAACCTGTCATAGTGACATAAGGCTAGAGACAGACTCACTGGCTTACACACGTACACTGGCTCTCACATTTGCATTATGTCTCACACGCTCTGGCTCACACAGCATTCTAGCTTACATACTGTCTCTGGTTCTCATACTGTCTCTGGCTTTCTCTCTTTCTCTGGCTTACACACATCACTCTAGCTCACACACTCTGTCTAGCAACAATTATTGTTCATGTCTGTTTGCCTTTGAGAAGGTGTGGTGAGCTCTCTTCTGGAACTGTGGCGGTCCATTTGGTACAGGTAGACCCACAATGCCCGTAGAGAGAGAATCCCATGACTTGGACCCAGTGACAATGAAGGAACTGTAGAATATCTCCGAGTAAAGAGGGGATCTTGCAGATGGTGGTCTTCCGATGTCCTTCCAGAAGGAAGTGGTCATGAATTTGGAAGATGCACGTTTACACTGACTCTTTCACTTGATAAGTGACAAGGTCTCCCAAAGCAGACTAGTTAAGAGGCTAAGAGCCGTCAGAATCCAGAACTGTTTAGCAAATTGTACCCAAAATTGCCTTAGCGGCAGGAGAGAAAGGGTGGTGGTCAAAGGGTGTTTTTGTAATTGGAAACTTGTGTCCAGTGGCGCACTATAAGTTTGGTGCAGGGTCCATTGCTGTTTGTATTGTGCATTAATGATCCAGACATGAATGTAGGAGTAAGTGCACAGATGACACAAAATTTCGTGGTGTGGTAAGTAGTGAGTAGAAAAGTCTTAGACTACAGGATGATATAGGTGGACTGAAGAGTAGTAAATAGAATTTAATCCTGAAGAGAATGAGATGATGCATTTTGAGAGGACTAAGAAGGCAAGGCAGTTCACATTGAATAATAGGACCCTGGGAAGTACAGAGAATCAGAGGGCCTGGATGTGCATGTCCATAAATCTTTTAAGGCTGCAAGACAGATAAGGTAGTTAAGGAGCCATATGGGATACTTGCCTTTATTAGTCAAGGCATTGAATACAAGAGCAAGAGGGTTATGATGGAGCTGCATATTATGTTAGTTAGGCCACAGTTAGAGTGTTGTGTGCACTCTGGTTATCCCACTATAGGAGGGATATGATTGCCTTCAAGAGGGTGCAAAGGAAATTCATTAGGGTTCAATAGGATTTCTCCCACTATAAAATAGCAGCCTGTAATATGGAGTCGTTCTTTTGATGTTTTACCTCAAGGGAATGATACAGGTTTTGTTTCCAAATGCTTTAGACTTCCCAGTTGTAATTTGATTTTGTTTTTGTTTGAAATATGTTTGGGTGGAGCTGGTGAATTCTAAGCGCTTTTATCCCAACAAGAGGAACTGCAGCTACCCTTTGGAGTCCTGCAACATTCCAGATGGGTCAGTATAAACCAAACCTTTAGGTCACCTGCAGACAGATTGTAGAGAGGTCTTACGGAAGCAGGGGTTGGTGGTCTGTTCTGTAAATGCATTTATATGCTTGTTTATCTCTTCTTTCGCTGTGTGAATTGTTTGGATTCTGTTCTGACTGACCACATTTTGCTTGCCATTTCAGCTTGGCAGTCCCCAACTGAAACCCAAGCGTCTGCGGCTTCTGGTGGATGTCTCTGGGAGCATGTACCGCTTCAATGGACTGGACGGCAGGCTGGAGCGCTCCATGGAGGCTGTCTGTATGGTTTTAGAAGCCTTTGAGAATTATGAGCATAAATTTAAGGTAAAGGTCACTCTTAGCGCCAGCAGCCGGTTTGGTGTTTTGGATAAGTGATGTAAACAGGGGAATTTTGGAATTTTGCAGCACAGAGGACACCATTCAACCCTTAATGTCTGTGATGGCTCTTTGAAAGATCTGTCAGATAGTCCCCCTTCCCCCTGCTCTTTCTCCATAGCCTTGCAGATGCTTTGAAATATTTGTCTGCTTACTCTTTGGAATGTGGATGAATAATCTACTTCCATTACACTTTCCTGCCATATTATCAGACTGAAATAACAAACTGTGTAAGAAAAATGCTCCCCTCCCATTAGTTTATTTTTCCTATTTCTGTGTGCCCTCTGGTTACTAGTTCTCCTGTCAGTGATATATGTATTCTCCATCAAAACTCCTCATAGTTAATAGACATAGCTTTTTTTCCTGACCTGCTTTTAGTAACATGAACATAACATTTCAACCATACATGGAAGATCTGCATCAAATAATTAAAATTTGAATCTTAATTACGACTATAATCTTGATAACATTCACCTCCACCGCCACCACTGGGGTTTACCGTAACCAAAAACTGAACTAGACTCGTATATAGTAAATACTGAGGCTACAAGAGCAGGTATAAGAATCCAGCAGTGGATAATTCACCACCTGACTCCCCAAAGCCCATCTATCACTTACAAGGCTCGACACTGCCTTCTCGAGGATAATGAGGAATTCGCAGTAAAAGCTGGACCAGCCAATGGCACCTACATCCTGCGAATGAACTTAAAAATCTATGAGAATGAATTGCCTAGAGTTGGCTTGTACTCCCTTGAGTATAGCAGATGAAGGGCAGATCCAGTTCTGGTGTTTAAGATGATTAACATTGTTCACTTGCTTAGAGAGAACAAGAGTCCTATGGAACTGACCTTCAGACCAAATGGGCATTAAAATTAGAGCTAGGATTTCGGATGTGATACCAGAGACCACGTCTTTACACAAAGCGTATTGGAAGTTTGGATACCTCCCCTCTCCCCCAGAACAAAATCTGCTTAGACTAAGTCAATTCAAATTTCTAAAGTAAGATTTTTATTGCCCTAAGGGATTAAAGAATATGGGAACAAGGCAGAAAATGGAGTCAAGATACGTTTGAGCCATGGTCTAATTGAATGGCTGCCAAGGCTCAAAGCCGTGTTCCACAGGATTCAGTTCTGTGTCCTCTTTTGTTTGTCATTTTATACAAATGAAATGGATGAGAATACAGAAGGCATGGTTAGTAAGTTTGCAGACAACATTGGTGGCATAGTAGACAGTGAAGAAGGTTCTCTAAGATTACAAAAGGATCTTGGTCAAATGGGTCAATGGGCTGAAAAATGGCAGATGGAGTTCAGTTTGGATGAATGCGAGGTATTGCATTTTGGTACAACAAACAAGAGTAGGACTTATACAATTAATGGTAGAGCTTTGGGTAATGTTGTAGAACAGAGGGACCTAAGGGTTCAGGTGCATAATTCTTTGAAGTTTGGGTGGTTAAAAAGTCATTTGGCACGATTGGCTTCATTGCTCAGTCCTTTGAGGACAGGAGTTGGGACATCATGTTGAGATTGTACAGGATATTGGTGAGGCCTCATCTGGAATACTGTGTCCAGTTAGAGTGGCCCAGTTATAGGTCAGATATTATTAAGCTTGGAGAGGCTTCAGAAGAGATGTACAAGGATGTTGCCGGGTATGGAAGGTTTGGGTTATAAAGAAAGGCTGGATAGGGTGGGACTTTCTTCACTGTGGTGTAGGAGGTTGACAGGTGACCTGATACAAGCGTATAAAATAATGAGGGTTATCGATAAAGTTAATGGTAGTTGCCTTTTCCCTAGGTTGGGGGATTTCGAGACTAGGGGGTGTATTTTTAAGGTGAGAGGAGAGAGATTTTAAAAAGACGTATGGGGCAAATTTTTCATGCAAAGGGTGGTTTGCGTGTGGAGTGAAATTCCTGAGGAAGTGGTGGATGTGTGTACAATTACAAGGAGCCAGGAGCAGGCAGGTGGGACTAGTTTAGTTTGGGATTATGTTGGGCATGGTATTACGTTGGACCAAAGGGTCTGTTTCCATGCTCTGTGACTGTATGACTTCATGCCGCTGAGTGGCCCATTCTCCTTTCAAGAGGAATTGTGGAAATGCAAAGCTCAAATTGGAGCAAGTGATAAACTCAAATGTTTTCAGCAGTTGGAAAAGCACTAAGGACTTTTCACATGCCCCGTCCCATATTTCATTACTTCTGTCTAGTGGTATGCTAATGCTCAGTCTTTCAAATGAGATGTTTGACACTTGCTGCCTTTGTTTGGTTGGCTGTACCAAGCAGTGATGTGCTAACCTACGCCTATCCCTCAATCTACACCAGCAAAACAGACGCAGTGGTTTTCCACCTCATTGTTCTTTGTGGGAGCTTGCTTTGCACAAACTAGCTGTCACGTTTGTCTCTGAAAGAGTAATGAATACATGTCAAAAGTGAAGTTTTGGCTGCCAAGTGCCTTCAAATCTCAGCCTCAAGGGTTGTAAAATGCTGTTAGATGTTCCCCTGAGGTGTTGAATGCACAAGTTCAGGCGGGTTTGTACAGTCAAATTGAACTTGATGTCCTCTGCAGCTGTATGCCAGCGATGACTGACAAATGCAAATTGAAATAATAATAAAATTGATTTCAAAAGACTTTAATCGCACAGCCCCCTAAATAAATTTTAAATCATTTTCTTTCCTTTTATTTAGCATAATGTGCATTTTTTTGTTCAGAAATCTCTGGTGGCAGGGCAGGTTTTGAAAACAGTTAAGAAAGTGCGCAGGATACTGAGCTTCGAAGACAAAAACAAGGATGTCATTATTAGATCCTATAGATCACAGTTTCAGCCTTACCTGGAGATTGTGGATTAAAGTGGATACCATACTTTTGGAAGGATGTCAGGAATGAGGGACTTCTGTTATGTGGAGAGGCTGAAGAGGTTGGCATTGTTGTTGGAGCAGAGAAGGTCAAGGAGCGTTAATAAGACATTTTGATAGAGCAAGTAGGAAGAAACATTTTTTTCTGACAACTAGGTCAATAATTGGAATTAAACTAAGAGGCAAAAGAACTAGAGGGATAATGAGATATATCTTCACCAAGATGACGGTGATGGTACCTGAATGAGTGCTGAAATCAAGTATTATTTGAAAATTTCGACAGGTGATTGACCACGTAGGTAAGGAGAACAAATCTGTGAGGGGATGGAGAGGAATACAATAATAGCTACAACAAGCCATGTACTTCTGTGTAAGATTCATTGGCAGAGGCCAGTCTCAGCCATGTGCACTTGAAATGAGAGCATGAGCTTGACTGTTTCTTCATCATCTACAGAGCCTGGTTTGAAAATTGCATTGAGTGTGAATTCCAGTTTTCCTCAGCCTTATTGGGTGAGAAGTGAATTGTCTGTGCTTAGACTGGTTTTCAACATGCAATCCCAGCTGCTGAGCTCCCGGCCAAACAGCGCAGGAGTCGGAGAAGTCGAGATGCAGACAGTAAGTTAGTTTATCCCGACCTTCAAACCACACAGGTCATCTCATTCCTTTTCTCACTTGGAACATACGTCAACAGCTGTAGTGACCTCCAACTCAGTTGGCATCAGAGCTGCAGTTTCATTCACATAATGGGTAAAGATTAATTAAATGGATACAGCAGACTGCTGCAAGGAGAAAAATTAGGCACTTTTTGGCTCCAAGGATATATTCCAATCATTCTCCTTCTATTCAGTCTGATTTAGGTGTGTTGGATGCTGTCACTGGGCAGAAATGAAAGAGTCTGCAGAACTGTTGTCGCTTTTTCTTTCTTCTCTAAGAGGTGAAAGCAAAAGTGGTCTTTTTGCAGTCTGTTTGGAGACTGGGATGCAGTAAAATGCATAGTGTGCTCATGTGCACACACTGTGTTGGGGAGAAACTGAACAGAGCTATTTGCAGCTTGAAGCATCAACAGTGAAAGCTTTCAACACAGCAAGGGTTGTGCCTGGGATGCACTCCAATGGATTCCATGAAAGAACTGGCAGTAAGTGAAGACCGGATTTAAAGGAAAATTCTGAGCCAAAGCAAATTTCTAAAAGAGCAATTAGTTCACTTCTTCAGAGTGCAGCTTCTCAGTCTCCAATCCCACTTGACCAGTAGTTCAACCTAATCTGCCATACACAGATGGTCGGACACACCCACCCAGCCAGAAATTTATTGAATTTTGCATTTAGTTTGAGGAAAAGAAACATGAGTTTAAGACAACGTTTTATAATTAAAATGAAGGCAGTTATGAGGGTATGAAAGCAGAACTGTCTAAAATGAACTGGCAATGTTTAGGCTAGGTTAAGGGATAGGTCAATAGAGAGGCAGTAGCAGACATTTAAAGGATATTTCAGAAATCTCAGAATGATACGTTCTGTTGTTAAATAAAAATGTTAAAGATAGTATCAAACATAAAGAAAAATGAAATAATTGTACAAAGACAGGTAGTAAGAGGTTTGGACACTATAAGTAACATTAAAGAATGACAGAAAGTAATGGAGGGAAAAATTAGAGTACTCTCAGAGAAAGCTATCCAGAAGAGTAAAAACAAATAGTAAAAGTTTCTAGAAATACTTAAAGAAAAGAGGAGGCAATTGCGAGTGTTGGTCCTATAGAAAATGAGAAGAGAGAATTAATCATGGAAAATAAGGAAATGGCAGATGAATTTAACAGGTATTTTTCATTAGTCTTCAATATTGAGGATACAAAGGACGTTCTAAAAGAAACAATAAATCAGGAAATGGAAGAGAAGGAGGAACTCCAGAAAGTCACAATTACCAGTGAAATGGTACTCAGATGGTGTTGAAGCTGTCAACTGACAAGTGCCCTGATCCTGATGGACTTCATCCTAGGATGTTAAAAGAAATGGCAAGTGAGATACAAAGAACAAGGAAAATTACAGGACAGGAACAGGCTCTTCGGCCCTCCAAGCCTGTGCCAATCCAGATCCTCTATCTAAACCTGTCGC